TAGGGACTTGCTGAGTCTTGCCCCTCCAGCAATGGTTTCTGACCTGTTTGCCCAAAGGAGGTTGAAAGCTGATTCTCATAGGGTTGGATCCCTAGGTGAGAACATTTCTACAGCTCCTCAGGGACATTCCGAACCAAATTCCCTTAGCTTTTTGTTCCATTGCTCCCCTGAGTACAGGGGAAGTAAGGGTACTGTTTGTTAAAACTTTTGCCTTATCTTTTCCTGTTTATTAAAATAGCATCCATAAGCATTGGTGAAGAGAGGCTGGCTTTTCCCCTCTGTCTCAGCATGGTAATTAGGTGACCCTAATAACCTACTCCATGTTCATAGCCCCAATATACCTGGTTCATAGCCCCAAATACCTGGTTATTTTTTCTTAACATCTTGATATGGAGGGGTATTTCTCTAAATTCCCTTTAGACTGTATGTCAAGTGGTGGTACACTATCCAGAAAATGACTGCTATCTATGGTTTATATATTAAGTATGGCAGGAGCCAAAGGGGAAGGTACCCATCTGCACCCAGAAGATTTGAGCCTCATCTCGCCGACCAACCTATGTGAGCCTGGGGGTTCTGAGGGAAAAATAAAATATCACATGGCTCGTCTGTCTTCTTAGTTGTGCCATTCTTGAGCTAATACTGCTTGACATAAACATAAACCTGTTGGGCAAAAATCAGTTTTGTATGAAGTAGAAACTTTCACTCCTTTTAATTCTAGGAATGAATTCTGTTTTGGGCAAAAGTTTAGATTTTGTTTTGTTTTGTTTGGTGCCAATAGTGTGACTTGAATTTATGTCTTGCTCTCTTGCTTGCCCTTTTTAAACTCAAGGCTGGCACCCCACCACTTGAGCGATACCTCCATTTCTGGCTTTTTGCTGGCTCACTGGAGATAAAAGTGTCATGGACTTTTTTTGCTCCCTGCTAGCTTTCAACCATGATCCTCAGATCTCTGCCTCCTGGGTAGCTAGGATTACAGGTGTGAGCCACCACACCTGACAAGGTGGATTTTTTAAAGCTCTCATTCCCTACAATGTGAATATGCTAAGACAAGGGTTCCTTTATGTTCCCTTCACTTTCCCTTCCATTTCTAGAAAAATCTTCACCATTCTCTTCAAAAACAGGCAAAAGATTCCTGTAAAAACAACAGATATCATTTTCTTTTTCAGTCAAGCCAGAAAGGCTCCACGGCTCTGCTCGGGATGCTGCACAAACTGCTGCTGGCCTCAACTCCGCAGGGAGCAGGGGAGCCTTGGGGTTTGTTCAGGTGTGCGGTTCCGCACTGGTTGGCAGCCTTACGCTCTCTTATCCAGCTATGTTTGGCCTTGTTTGTCTTCCATGGGAACACAACATTTTTTCCCCTCAGTTTTCCGTTTATAACAACTTGTTACCAAGTACCTGAACCTGACAAGCAGCTGGATAGAATCTCATCAAGAGAAAATAAAGGCCTCTTCTATGAAGAGGTGTGCCCACTATTCCCTAACATGTGCTCCTTTCGCACAGACCCAAAGGTATTATTTTTTCCTTCATTTATTTGACTTCTCCAACCCACCTAAAATACCATTATCCTTCTCAAGTTTATCCCATTTTTAAAGTTTTGGCTTAAAATTTCCTGAAAGACTGGGAACTGTAGCTCAGTGATTCACTAGCATGTGTAAGACCCATGTTCAATCCTCAGCACTTCAGAAAAATACAAATACAAAATAAAAGCCAGGTGTCAGTGACTCATACCTACAATACTAGCTACTCATGAGGGAGGCTAAGATCCATGAGTCTTGGTTCGAAGCCAGTCTAGGCAGATAAATCTGAGACTTAACCAGCAAAAAGCAGAAACTGGAGGTACAGCTCAAATAGAGGACTCTGGCCCTGAGCATAAAAAGCCAAGAAAGGGCTGGGAAGGTGGCTCAGTGGTAGAGTGCTTGCCTTGCATACATGAGGCCCTGGGTTTGATTCCTCAGCACCACATAAGCAGAAAAAGCTGGAAGTGGGGCTATGGCTCAAGTGGTAGAGCACTTGCCTTAAGCTGAAGAGCTGAGGGACAGTGCCCAGGCCCAGAGTTCAGACCCCATGACTGACACACACACACATACACACACAAAGCCAAGTAAGAGTATGAGACCCTGAGTTGACGCCCCAGTACTGGTACAAAAATAAAACAAAACAAAAACCTTTCAAGCTAGACATTGTAGTACCTGTTTGTAATCCTAGCTTTTTTTTGGGGGGGGGAGGGGGTCGAGTCATGGGGCCTGAACTCTGGGCCTGGGTGCTGTCCCTCAGCTCTTCAGCTCAAGGCTAGTGCACTTCCACTTGAGCCACAGCTCCACTTCCGGCTTTTTTCTTTTTGCTTATGTGGTGCCGAGGAATTGAACCCAGGGCCTCAGGCATGCAAGGCAAGCACTCTACCACTGAGCCACCTTCCCAGCCCCTTAATCCTAGCTTTTGAGACAGGAAGACTGCAAATTCCAAATAGCACAGGCTATCTCACAATAATAAAAATTTTCTGATGTCTCTGGGTCCCTCTGACCTCTTTGCTGAAATTCTTCACAGCAATTGTATTGTGCTGTACTCAATTTAGCACTTAATTGGTTCCTGCTTTTTATTACTTGTAAATTGCTACATGGTTACTGGTTTCAGCTTCCTAAGGAGACAGTTCCTAACAGCAATGATAATAGCAGCAGCAAACCTTTGACTCTGCCAGTTATCGCTCCAAGAGAAACCAGTTATTTCATTTTGGTCCCCAGTATGCCTACTGAGATGGGTACTATTATATTATCACCTCGTTTTTGTTTTTTTTACAAATGAAGTAAAGAATGCACTGAGACATTAAGCTACTCAAAGTTACACAATTAGTAAGTAAAGAATCCTGCACTTGACCCAGTTATTTGGTTCTTAAGTCTCTAAAACATAGATGACTTTTAAACTTTCTCATAAATTCTATTTACTCCTTATTACTCCGTGTGAATTGGATATGCCATCCCTATTTTCAGATGAGAAAACTAAAGAAAGTTGCCTGGGATCAAGAATCTCATGCAGGGCTGTGATTCTAATCTAGATCTGCTGCTGTTGCTCTTTTTCCTCACTAAATGGCAACTACAGATTTGATGAAGATTCAACTCAGTCATCACATCTCTTTGTGCCCATTCATCTCAGGCCCATGTGAAAAGACTTGAGGAGCACTGCGTCTGGGGGTGGGAACATAGAAGGGTGCAGTCTTGGGGAGACAGGTGTGAAGACAAGGAGGGGTACATTTGGTGCTGAGGTAGCAGTGGGGAAAGTTAAGCAAACACAAAGAAAGACACAGTTGGAGTGCTTTCAAGACCGTAGGCTATCACACAAAGAAGTAAGCTAAAAGTTGTTTTTAAAGTTGGTAAAGATTTTTAATCCAAAGCTTTGTGTTAAAAGGATTTCATGATAAAGTCTATTAACCAAAAAATTCAACTAAGAGCATCCTCTATACGTGTGTATGTGCTTTTTTGCTGATTCTGGGGCTTGAACTCTGGGCCTGTGCACTGTCCCTGTATTCTTGTTGCTCAAGGCTATCACTCTACCATTTGAGCCACAGCACAGCTTTTTCTGTGATTAATTGGATATAAGAATCTCATGGACTTTCCTACCTGAACCAGCTTCAAACTTCAATCCTCAAATCTCAGCTTCTTGAGTACCTAGGATTATAGGCAAGTCATCGATGCATGGCCCTATATATTATCATCATTAGCTTTCTGCTATAAATAACAATCCTTCTAAGTCTATTGTTGCTATTTTCTAGGGTGACATAAACCTTAATGGGGTAGTGGTGGTCACAGCCTTCTTAGATTGTTTCTGTTGACACTAAATGAGAAATTCAGGCCTCTACTAAGAGCAAAGTAGCCTCAAATATGGGAAGATCGAATATGAAGGCAGGATGCAAGGTCCTATGTATACACAAAGATCCTCACTGCAGGATCTGTCATCATCTAAATAACTGAGAAAGGATAATCTTTTGAAAGATCTGACAGGTAGAATGCAAAGATGGAAGTTAGAAGCTCTGAAGTTTTTTCCTAAACATGCCCTTGCCCAAGTCCTCTGCCTTACCTATCCAGATCCTGCTTTTTATTCCTTCTTTCTCGACTTGGTGCCAGGGGTGCAGAGTCACGCTCGTGCTTGGCTTTTTCGCTTACCCCCTGAAGGCTGGCACTCTCCTACTTGAGCCACCCTCCCACCTCTGGCCGTTTGAAGACTCTCACAGACTTTGCTGTCCAGGTTAGCTTCTAATTTCAAACCTCAGATTTCAGTCTAAGATTACAAGCATGAGCCACTAGCATCCATCTCTCTCATTTTTTACAAGATGTTAAAATAGCACCTACCAGAGACTCCAAATCAGTTATTTTGGAGTCTGTGCCAATTTTTAGCTATAGTTCTAAAAACAGAACAAAAATCACATAAACCTAAAATTTCTTTAATATAAAGCAAAATAGCATTAAAAGTTTTGTGTTTAGCTTATCATCTTTTAAACTGACAGTTTCATCTTATTCTACTTGAGCAATCAATCAAATTCATGGCTTTCCCCTTTTCATCTCTCCTCCACCTGCACCCTGTAAATCAACAGAACCTGAAAGTCTAATTACTGCTGAAACAGAAAACCAGTGGAGAGCAAGTGAAAGAGAAACTAAAGGCCCAATCACAGTCCTTGGTGAATACATAATATCAATAATCCTATTTTACTATCTGCTTATGCCCAGCTCTAGTATTTTATTCTGATAATTTATGAACTGAGCTTGGAAACTATGTTAGTTGGCCCCCTTATCTGACAGGAAGCAGGTTGAAGCAGGCTCCTTTGTAACATGGCTATGCTCAAAGTCCTGTGCTACTGTGAGGCTATGAGACACAATGATAGCCATCACCATATAAGGGAAAACTGATCACATTTAGAAAAACATGTCTATTTCTTTTTTTTTTTAAAGATTGGAAGTGATTTATTTTCTTAATTTTAAGTCAATCATTAAATTGTTCACAGTGATTTCTGGGATGCTGCTCAGAATCTTAAGGGCTGGGGTCTAGTTGGCCCAAGGAAGTACAGGCAGGGCAGGCCTCGCTGGGCAGCTGGAGCAGCACAGACTGCCCTGAAGGCAGGTAAGTGATGTTCGGTGGGCGGCAGAGCTGGTATGCAAAGTCCTCCGCGCAGCTCAATCAGGCCATCACCTGCCGTGGCCAGGGAGTCGCCCTCTGCAGGGATGATGGCCGCCTTCTGCTGCTGCTCAGCCTTTTCCACCACAAATCTGGCCCTCTCTGCTTCCTGCTGAGCCACCTGTTTGGCTTCCACTGCTTCTGTGAATTCCTTCCCGAAGGTCAGGTATGTGAGGGCCACGTCATCCAGGATGAGCCCAAAGGTTGCTGCTCGCTCTGTGAGGTCATCGCTCACCTGCCTGGAGACCAGCTCTCTCTGGGTGATCCGTTCTCTGGCATCAGAGCAAGCCACCACAGGCTTGAGGATCTCTGTGGTGATGGATGGCAGCACACGCTCATCATAGTCCTCTCCGACGCTAGTGTAGATGCGAGAGAGCGGGCTCGCGACCGGCCGGAAGACGCTGCGCAGTGTGATCCTGACGTTCTGCAAACCTTTGCTCCCGGTGATGACGGGCTCATTACTTGGCCGAGAGCGGCAGGCCAAGATCATTGGTTTCTGTACCCTCCTCCTACCACAATGTCTGAACACCACGGAATCGGTCAAGATGACAGCCCTGCGCCCAGCGTCCACATTATGTAAGGCAGAGTTCACCACGCCTGCTGCCACAGCTAGGGCCATGCCAAACTTGCCAATGGACTCGGATATTTTGGGCAGCCATGTTTCCTTCTGCTGGACCCACTCACATCTGCTTCCACTCTGACCTCCACATTAATTTTCCCCCAAACATGTCTATTTCTTAAACTTTGGGATTCGAGTTAAGCTTAACACTAATTTTGTTCTGTTTAGGCTCTCCCTTTCACGGGTAAATGACCATCTAAAATACACCTTGCCTATAAAGGTGGAGACTAAGAACTGAAACACAGCAACTTGTCTTACAATGGGAGACAGTATCCTGTTCCCTTAGGAAAGTACCTAACCATTGATCTTAGGATCCATTGACCTTAGGATTCCTTCTGTATTCTTACCCTTTTCACTGGTCTAGATATTGACTATGCACTTCAGAAAACATTTTCTGACACCTGCTTAGCATTTATTTTCCTTTAATTCCTATTTATATTCTGTTCTTGAAATTTTCCTATCTTAAGAACTTCAACTAATTAATAGCGTGACATTATGTCAGCTTCTCAAGATTTCAGAGACTGAATGTCATCCTTTGATTTTTCACTCCCTTCATACATTTGGGGGAGAATTAGTTAAGCTCTAGTTCTTTTTGAATTATTAAAATAAGACTGGGAAAAGAAAAAAGAAATTACATTAAGGAAAGAAAAGGCGATTTCATTGGCTTTTAGGCCTTTGCGGATAAAGCAGAGATTCAGAGCTGTCTCTAGAAGCCAGACTTGAGAATAGGGTGGGGCCAAAGCCGTTGCTCATTATTCTTATGCAACTACTGAAGTCTGTAGTTACTTTCTAACTTGATTCTGAAGCTACTTTTTGGCTTTGCTGCCTTGTTTCTAACAGACTGGTTATAGTGCTTACTGCTAAAGCAGTACTTCCTGGGAAGCTCTACAAAGCCTGATTATGGCTGAGGATTATTTTTTTACTTTACCCTACATTTCCCAGAACTCAAAATGGTTTTAATGTAGGAACACAGGGAAGATAATCCAGTGAGGTATTTTGGATTCTTATGCTAGTTTTTCCTTCCTGGTCCTACTCTAGGCTTACATTCTCAACAGGGAGATATCCTGGTTGCATGTAAGCAACTTGTTTCTAGAAACTACAAAACAGTTAACATTCAAATACACAAGAGGATTATCTCATAGTTATAATACCTAATACAATTTCCTGAAGATCAATCTGGCATGTATCCACTTCTAGGGAAGCCAAACCTTCCTCGTTCTGTTATCACTGTATGTTAGGTTGGTGGGTCATTTAGCTGTTGTTCTTACTAAGTTAATAATGTACATTCATTCCTGTAGTTACAAAAAAATAAATTAGAATCAGTAAATATAAAACATATTCTGTCCAAAACATCTTTCGTTCAAAAGTGTTTAGTATTAAATGTATGAACTATCTTTGGCAACCTTTGGGAAACAGTGTACATTAAACCGTAGTTTTTCTAAAAACCTAGGGTTTGGAGAATTAAAATTTTAAAGCCATGTTAACTTTTGTGTTAATGGCTTTCATGGGATGACCTAAGCAGATTTCAACCCTAACAGTAAGTAAACTATGTTTCTTCAGACTTCCATGGGCTCTGACTCTGTCAGTGTTAAATGCCAAGGCTGTCTGGTGAGATTTTCATTTATCTGGTGAGATATTCATTTCTTCCATTTTACAGTAGGAGACATTGTCTAAATTCTCCTGAATCACATGGTTGTAGTCCTGGGAAGCAAGTTTTGATAGCTTGCCTTCAAAAAAAATTTTTTTTCCTCCAAACCACACACTTTATTTGGATCTACTTGAAAGTACTGTTTCAAGATGTTTTCTGAAGGTTTCATAGGACTACGACTACACTGAAAACTTTTGGGTCATTGTTTGCTAACTGCTGTGATGGTTTTAATCAGAGAAGAATCCAGAATTTTCAGCTTGGGTGTTGGAAGAGTTCCTAAATGTCTCTTAACTGACTTAGGAGAAACTGCTTAACAGAAGAGGCCTTATTCCTGACCTGGAATAAACTTATGACAACTGACATATGCTATAACCAGAGATCAAGGAAACTACATTTACTGAACAATTTATAACATAAATGCAACAAAGGTTTAAAAATATCAGTATCAGATGAGAAATCTATTAAAAAAGAATCACATACTGGTTGTCAACATACTGGTTGATAACTTTCTTCACCTGTCTGGTAACTTCTAGTTAGGATATTAAACATCCTGATGATGGCTTAGATAGTAAATGTCCCCTGAAAGGCCATGTGTTGAAGGTTTGGTTGCCAGCGTCTAGCATGATTGGGAGATGGCAGAAAGAAGTTAGGTCACTGGGGGACTGCCCTTGAGAATACTAGGATCCTGATCCTTTCACCTCATGGCTTCCTGACTGCCATGAGGTGAGTAGGTTTGTGCTACCATGTGCTCTCCGCCATATTCTGCCTCACCACAGGCCCAAGCGCAATGGAGTTAAGTGGAATTCAGCATGGACAGAAGAAATTTCTGAAACCCTCAGTCACAAAATTACACCTTACCATTGGTGATTGACTTCTTTTCTCCTTTTTTTTTTTTTTGACAGTCCCGGGACTTGAACTCAGGGCTGAGCACTGTCCCTGAGCTTCTCTTAAAAGCTCGAGGCTAGCACTCTACCACTGGAGCCATAGTGCCACTTCTGGCTTTTTCTGGTTATGTGGTATTAAGGAATAGAAACCAGGGCTTCATACATGCTAGGCAAGCACTCTATCACTAAGCCACCTTCCCAGCCCTCCTCCTCTTCCTCTTCTTCTTTTTTTTTTTTTTTTTTGTCAGTTATAGGGCTTGAATTCAGGACCTGGATGCTGTCCCTGAGTTTGTTTGTTTTTTTCTCAAGCCTAGTGCTCTACCACTTAAGCCACAGCTCCACTTACCATTTTTGGTCATTAGAGATAAGAGTCTCATAGACTTTCCTGCGTAGGCTGGCTTCAAACCACAATCCTCAGGTCTCAATCAGTCTCCTGAGTAGCTAGGACTACAAGTGTGAGCCACCAGCACCTGACTTGACTTCTTTTAAGCTGGTTATCTCACATATTTTTTTCTCAGTGATGGAAAACTGTCTAACACACTTCTCTATTAGGACCTAGTTTTCATTACACTAGGTTTTATTGAAGACATTCTGGAAGAAGTTTTATTGATAACTCAGGTAAAATTTTCTAAGGCCAAAGACTTCATTCCACCTAAGTAGACATTTTTCTCTTCTGGTAATCCTAACTTGAAGAAAGAAGAATCCCTTTGTAATGAGGACAGTTCATTCTCCAGAAAAGCTTGATTCTCACTCCTCATATCAAACCAGATTCCCAAAATTTAGGTAGACCTGAGTCAACTTCCTACATCAGTTCCAGAAGCATATTACCAGGGTCCAGTAAATATTTCCTAGTTCAGGAAGGCTCCTTCCTGTATTTGCACAATAAAATGTTTTCCTCCTCAGTTTCTAATTCGTGCATGATTTATCAATGTACAAATTCCTAAGATCTCTCCTAGGAACAAAGGTCCTGCAAAGAATTTCCTAAACTGACTCCACCTAACCCGTTCCTAACAGATCTAAGTCTCTGATATAGCCGTGAAAACTTGCTGTTATTTTGCACCCAGGAGGCTGAACCAAAAGCCTTATGCATGCTAAGTGACTGTTTTAGCACTAAGCCACCTCGCAATTGACTTGCATTTTATTTTTTGCTAGTGCTGAGGTCTGAACCCAGGGACTATCAGTCTCCCTTAGCTTGCTTACTCAGAGCTGGCATTCTATTATTTGAGCCACATCTCTATCTCAGCTTTTTGCTAGTTATTTCAGAGATAAAAGTCTCACAGACTTTTCTGCTCAAGCTTGGCTTCAAATTGCAATCCTTTGATCTCAACCTCTTGATAACTAGATTAAAGGTGTGAGCCAGTAGTGCCCAGCTAATTTTTTAATTTAAGCATTTTTTTTGGGGGGGGGGGCAGTCCTAGGGCTTGAACTCAGGGCCTGAGCTGCTTTTGCTCAAGGCTAGCACTCTACTACTAGAGCTACAGAGCCACTTCTGGCTTTTTCTGATTATGTGGTACTGAGGAATCGAACCAGGGTTTCATGCATGCTCAACAAGCCCTCTACCATTAAGCATTTTTGTAAGTGCCCTACAGTTTTTATACATGCTTAACTTCTGGAACAACTCCGCGTGTGAATGAAAGGAAAAATAAAAGAAATCCTAGCAAGCAAAGACAGGCAATATTTCAATTTAAGGATTTAATACCAATGTGGGAACAAGATTTTAAAAAGACCAGTGGAGGGCTGGGAAGGTGGCTCAGTGGTAGAGCGCTTGCCTTGCATGCATGAGGCCCTGGGTTCAATTCCTCAGCACCACATAAGCAAAAAGAAAAAAGCTAGAAGTGGCGCTGTGGCTCAAGTGGTAGAGCGCTAGCCTTGAGCTGAAGAACTGAGGGACAGCGCCCAGGCCCAGAGTTCAGGCCCCACGACCGGACCCCCCCAAAAAAATAAAAAATAAATAAAAAAAATAAAAAGACCAGTGGAAAGGGATCATGAACAACTTTATTTCCACAACTCCAACTCCTTCCTATATTAATCTTGAGTTAGGCTGGCTGCATCAGTGTGCTAATACTTTCTTCTACCTCTGAGAGCTTCTTCAGGATTTGGTTGACCTTGACTTCATCGAATTCCAAACAAAGAAATTCAGATTCCTGTAAAACATAAAAGGACGTTTTAGGGGAACCCTAAAAATAATTAAGGCATATCATCTGGTATGACTAGACTTCAGAGGCCCAGGAAACCAATCCAGTAAGCTGTAATCAGATCTTAATATCTAAGTGTTGCTTTATTACATAAAGCAAACCTACATATTGCTTCTAAATGAAGCTGCTCAAATAACCATACTCAATGTTTCTTTTCTTTCTTTTTTTGGGTCCGGGCGTGGGGCCTGGACTCTGGGCTTGGGCCCTGTCCCTCAGCTCTTCAGCTCAAGGCTAGCGCTCTACCACTTTAGCCACAGCACCACTTCTGGCTTTTTTTTCTTTTTGCTTATGTGGTGCTGAGGAATGGAACCCAGGGCCTCATGCATGCAAGGCAAGCGCTCTATCACTGAGCCACCTTCCTAGGCCCTCAATGTTTCTTTTTTGGTTTTTTGTTTTTGTTTTTCCTATCAGGCACACAAGAAGCTTGTGCTATATCTGTCATCACATTTGATCCTAATTTTTTTGTTTTTTTTTGGTGCCAGTCATGGAGTTTGAACTCAGGGCCTGAGCACTGTCCCTGAGCCTTTTTGCTCAAGACTAACACTCTACTACTTGATTCACAGCTCTACTACCTGTTTGGGGTTTTTTTTGAGTAGTTTGTTGGAGATAAGAGTCTCATGGACTTTGCTGGATTGGCTTTGAACTGCGATCTTCAATTCTCAGCTTCTTGAGTATTATAGGTATGAGCCATCAGCATCGGGTTCCTATTATATTAAAGTAAGTATTGTCACTTTATAGGTGAGAACTATGGGGCACAGAAAGTCTCAACCTGTGTCTGATAAAGCAGAAAAGGTCACCTATTTAACTTCCAGCATTAGTGGACCCCAAAGTCCCTGTGTGTCCACAGCACTCTGTAGTAAAATAATGGGGTTGTAAAGTAGGCTAAACTTGGATTTTGTGGTTATGGCAGAAATTATGGCAAGTTCCTTGTGAAACAACAGCCAGACAGGTAAAAGATAATTAGATCTTGAAATAGCAACCAACACTTCTGGAGTCTTTTTACTTGCTACCCAACAGGGCAAATTAATCCCATGTAGGGTAGATATCAAAGATATCTTGGTAAATTAATCCTAGGTTATATAGATATCAAAGAATAAGGTCTTTAAAGTATGGTGGCAGAAACTTTTCTTTTTTTCTTTCATTGTAAAGGTGATATACAGAGGGGTTATAGTTACAGAGTTAAACTAATGAGTACATTTCTCTTTGAACCATGTTATCCCGTCCCTCAAAATCCTAAATCCAACTATCTTTAGCAACAAAAGCTAACTGTATGTACCCAACAGTGATAATATTCAAGATCATTAATGAAGTAATTTTAAGGAAGTATGCATCTTTAGAGATCATATAATCTAACTACCTTGTTTTCTAGACAATAGAATTAAGGACCATGCATGTCAAATGACTTATCTAAATCCTTTGTGGATGGGAAATTCATCAGGTTAATACTCTTTTCCCTATATTTTCGTCTTTAAATACTGAAGGAGTTCTGAACAAGTCAATCCAAAGTGTTCCACTTAGTATTAGGGTTATTTTACATTGAAGGCAACTGAGAATCAATAGGAGAGAGAAATCTTCCTGGAGTTTATCTGATTAAAAACAGAAACTTCTGGAAAATGAGGACCACAACCAATCTCCTCTGATGGAATTTTATATGGAAAAGAAGATGAAAAGTCAGCAGCAGATGAGTCTGCACCATCTTACTAAAACAGTCCTAATCATTATTTCTCCATATATTTATCTTAGAGTTTACCACCCTGAGTTACTTCATCACTTACCAGTCTCTGAAAACTGACATGAGATTTCATCTTTTTTTCCTGTGAAGCACTCGTGAAACATTGATAAAATCTGTAAACTTTTTCTGTCAATCTTTCCTCAGTTAATTTCACAGACTTTATGGAAAGAACCTAAGAGAATAGAGTCTTCCCGATTATATGGCAGTTCCCTATCCTCCAAGTGTCAGGAAAAGGAAGACTAGCAAGCCTCCTGAGAGGGCAAGAATCACTCTGCTATTAGCTAGGACAAAACCAAGAGCTGATTTTGAAAAAGCACCTTTGTTGTTGCTAAGCTGCTGAACTAAGTCTATGGAGATGGCACTGAACATGTCCCAAGTGAAACAGGTGCAGATGAAAAGAAGGAACCTCTTGGATGAAAGGCTTTCACAGGAAGGAAAGGCGGGTTTTCCCTGACTACAGGAACCTGCCTTCAAACCTGTATTTGGATACAAAAGGAGTTTAGTTTCATAGTGAGCTTAGAAACACTGCCAAGTTTTCATTTAATTAAGGGAAAAAAACAAGTTTAAACAAGGAATGAATAATAATAAAGGAAGCTCTCTGTACTTTAAGTCATAGAAGGAGTTAGCCTTTTTGGAAAGAAAGGCAAATTTATGATCAATTAGGCATTTTGTCAAAATTAAGACTGGGTCTCAAGTCAAGCACCATTGGCTCATGCCTGTAATTCTAGCTGTCCTAGAGGCTGAGATCTCAGGATCATGGTTCTTCAAAGCCAGTCTGTGTAGAAAATGCCCAGACACTTTTTTTTTTGTCAGTCGTGGGGCTTGAACTCTGGGCCTGGGCGCTGTCCCTCAGCTCTTCAGATCAAGGCGAGTGCTCTACCTCTTGAGCCACAGCGCCACTTCTGGTTTTCTAGTGGTTTTTACAGGTGTGAGCCACTGTGCCTGGCTCCAGACACTCTTATCTCCAATTTACTAGCAAAATGGTGGACTGGAGGCATGACTCAAGTTAGATAGTACCAGCCATGAGTGAAAAAGTCAAGTGAAAGTGCAAGGTCCTGAATTCAAGCCACTGTTAGTACAGTTGAGTACCCCTCAACAAGGAATGGTTCTCAGATTTGAAAGTCTCATGTATTTCACTTAGTTTTACTGAGATCTTTAGCTTGACTTTAAGCGTTTTTTAGTATTTGGCTTGAAAATAATAGAACTGAATCTAATAATTACCAGTGATTAACATATGTATATAAAATTGGCCAGAGATGCTACAACCATTTTTCACCAGAGTAAAAATTACAATACTAAATCACTTTGTGTTTATATGTAAAGAAATTATAAAAAATAATACTCATACAAGCCGGGCGCTGGTGGCTCACGCCTGTAACCCTAGCTACTCAGGAGGCTGAGATCTGAAGATCACGGTTCAAAGCCAACCCGTGCAGGAGAAACCATGAGACTCCTATCTCCAATAAACCACCAGAAAACTGGAATTGGCGCTGTAGCTCAAGTGGTAGAGCGCTTGCCTTGAGCTGAAGAGCTGAGGGACAGCGCCCAGGCCCAGAGTTCAGGCCCCACGACCGACAAAAAAAAATAATAATAATACTCATACAAGATAGAAATAACAGCAGGGTCTGTAAATATATATATATATGTACACGTACACACACACACACACACACACACACACACACATATTTTTTTTTGTTCGTGGGGCTTGAACTCTGGGCTTGGGCGCTGTCCCTGAAGTCTTCAGCTCAAGGCAAATGCTCTACTGCTTGAGGCACAGTGCCACTTCCAGTTTTCTGTTGGTTTATTGGAGATAAGAGTCTCACGGACTTTCCTGCCTGGGCTGGCTTTGAACCGTGATCCTCAGATCTCAGCCTCCTGAGTAGCTAGGATTAGAGGTATGAGCTACCAGCACCCGGCTAGCGTCTGTAAATAAATAGTACTTTTTTTCCTAAGGGATTATTTGTTACAGGTTTCAGTACTCAATCTTTGACTAGACCTCTGAATATTAATAAAATTCAAATTACTTAATATATGTGTATATATTGTATTACTTTACACTTATTTATTATTTTTATGTTTCTATTTTACATAGTTGAAGGGTCTCACTATGTAGTACAGGCTAGTCTCAGATTCCCAATGTTCTTTCCTTAGCCTCCTCAGTCTTTTTTTTTTTTTTTGGGTCCGGTCGTGGGGCCTGAACTCTGGGCCTGGGCGCTGTCCCTCAGCTCTTCAGCTCAAGGCTAGCACTCTACCACTGGAGCCACAGCGCCACTTCTAGCTTTTTTCTTTTTGCTTATGTGGTGCTGAGGAATTGAACCCAGGGCCTCATGCATGCAAGGCAAGCGCTCTACCATTGAGCCACCTTCCCAGCCCAGCCTCCTCAGTCTTACATATGTTTTTGAGCCAACACCAAGCTATTTTTGTTACTGTGAACTCTGCAGCACAATTTGAAGAAGGGTATTTTGGTATTTTAGTGTTAGTCTTTTTGCTCAGGATCATTTTGGTTATTTCAGGGTCTTTTGTGCCTTCATATAATTGTAGATTTTTTTTCTATTCCATTAAAAAGTGTCATTTGGTAGGAATGACTTTTGGTAATATTCATAGTTTTAATTTTCACAATGTTAACTCTGATCTATAAACCTGGAAGATCTTCCCATTGTTTGTTCATTTGTTTTTCTTCACTGTTTTATAGTTGTTTTTACTATAGTTGTCACCTCCCTTGATTAGGTTTATTCCTTTTTTTTTTTTTTTTGGTTGGTCATGGGGTTTGAATTCAGGGCTGGGAGTTGTCCCTGAGCTCTTCTGCTCCAGGCCAGTGCTCTATCACTTTGGGCCACAGCACCACTTCTGGTTTTCTGGTGGTTAACTGGAGATAAAAGTCTTATGGGCTTTCTGGCCTGGGCTGGCTTTGAATCATGACCCTCAGATCCTTCTGAGTAGCTAGGATTACAGGCATGAGCCACCAGCACCAGCACTCAACTTTTTTTTTTTTAATTAAAATTTTGAGGTTATTTTATGTTGGATTGTTTTCCTGGTTTCTTTTTAGCCTGTTATTGGTATTTAGAAAAATTACTTTTTTTGTTGTTGGTCATGGTGTTTGAACTCTGGGCCTGGGCACTGGCCCTCAGCTCTTCAGCTCAAGGCTAGCCCTCTACCACTTGAGCCACAGTACCACTTCTGGCTTTTTCTGCTTATGTGGTGCTGAATAATCAAA